TCTCCTTCCTTTAACGACAGAAATACAGATCACACAGTCTAGGTGCTGCTAGATTTCTCTACTATATAATCACTGATTTTTCCTCCACCCACCATTTCTGATGTGAAAAGACTACGTAAAAATCCTGCTTCTCAGTAAACTCCCGGACCCCAAGTTTATCAGTCATTAGTTATAATGTCTAATCATGTTTACCATAATGGGTGTAAAATGTCAGTGAAAGGGGCAGGAATTGTCCAGGAAGGGGCATCAAGGAACTTTTCAGGAGTGATGGATGCTTTTTTTTTTGAGATGGAGCTTTGCTCTTATTGCCCAGGCTGGAGTGTAATGGTGTGATCTCAGCTTACTGCAACTTCTGCCTCCTAGGTTCAAATGATTCTCCTGCCTCAGCCTCCAGAGTAGCTGGGACTACAGGCACGTGCCACACGCCTGGCTAATTTTTTGTATTTTTAGTAGAGAGGGGGTTTCACCATGTTGGCCAGGCTGGTCTCCTCACCTCAGGTGATCCACCTACCTCAGCCTCCCAAAGTGCTGGGAATTACAGGCATGAGCCACTGTGCCCAGCCTTGGAAATATTCTGTATTTTGATGGTGTGAGATTACACAGGTGGAGGAAGTTAAAAAACTCATATATATGTAATACTTAAGAACTGTATCACAACCATAAGTATTGCAAAAGATTTAAATTCTAGTTAATGAAATGCGTGCTGACGTACTTAGGAACGTCATCAACTTACTATAAAATGTATCAAAAAATAAGATAGATTGATGGATAGGTATGTGATAGTGTAATAAAGGAATAGAGCAAAAGGTTAACATTGTTAAATGTAGTTAGTGGGTACAGGATGTTGACTATACAGTTCTTTGAGCTTTGTTACATTTTTGAATATCTGTATAATAAAGTATGAGGATTTTTAAAAAGTACTGTAAGTGCTTATGTTATAAAAAGCACAAATTGTAAATGGGTAATTATAACGTGAGACAAATTTTCCTATGGTATCATCATATTTGGATTTTGAAAGCACTGTATATCTAAGGTTGTAGATAGAGAAGTTAAGATGAAAAAATCATTAGTGGCTAAAAGGTGGTTCTGGTGATGATGAAAACCACCATCTTTGATGTCTTTGCTGATGTCAAAGTATGTGAACAGTTTTTACAAAATCATTTCAGGACAGAGTAGGGGGAAAAACTAGTATTTCTACATTAATACATATCCTATCTCAAATGTATATTTGAATTAGTACTTTTTTTTTTTTTGAGCTAGCCTGGCTCTGTCACCCAGGCTGGAGTGTAGTGGCACAATCTCAGCTCCTTGCAACCTCTGCCTCCTGGGCTCGTGCCATTCTCCCACCTCAGCCTCCCAAGTAGCTGGTAATACAGATGCATGCCACCATGCCTAATTTTTGTAGAGATGGGGTTTCACCATGTTGCCCAGGCTGGTCGTGAACTCTTGGGCACAAGTGATCTATCTGCCTCGACTTCCCAAAAGTGCTGGGATTATAGGCCTAAGCCACCCTGCCCAGTCAAATTACTACTTTTAATAGATGACTATTTTATCCCTATACTGTTTATTTATTCAAATAGTTCACAAGACTTTTGTCTTTTTTAAAATCTTTATTTCCAGTGTTGTCTTTCTTAATTATCGAAGAGGTGTTCTTTTTTTTTGTTGGAGGCAGGAGCTTGCTATAATGCCCAGGCTAGTCTCAAACTCCTGGGCTCAGCTCCTGGAGTAGCTGGAATTATAGGAACATGCCACCATGCCCAGCACACAAGACTCTTTAATTTTTTATTTCTTACTGGAGGAAAATGTAGACTATCTATTTTTTTTTTTGAGACAGAGTTTCGCTCTTGTTACCCAGACTGGAGTGCAATGGCACAATCTCGGCTCACCGCAACCTCCGCCTTCTGGGTTCAAGCAATTCTCCTGCCTCAGTCTCCCGAGTAGCTGGGACTACAGGTGCGCACCACCATGCCCAGCTAATTTTTGTATTTTTAATAGAGACGGGGTTTCACCTTGTTGACCAGGATGGTCTCGATCTCTTGACCTCGTGACCCATCCGCCTCGGCCTCCCAAAGTGCTGGGATTATAGGCGTGAGCCACCGCACCTGGCCAGATTATTTTACCTTTTGGTATATACAGTATATAGAAGATACTTAACCATATCATTAGAAAAATTTACAAACACAATGGCTACACAAGATACATAAACTTAAAAGATTATTTCTCTGCCGATTTTGGGGCATTTAAGTCATTCTAAATTTTTAGTATTATAAGCACTAATATGTTAACAGCTTTACACACATATAGTCAGCACTTCTGATTATATCTTTTGGAATTTTTCACTTATTAACAAGTGAAAAAACAAGTGCTTTCCAGAAAGCACTCTCAATAACAGTGTATGATGCCAGCTTCAATACAAGCTCACTAATATCCGAGTACTATTTTTAAAAAATCTTTACCAATTTTATAGGGCAGTTTTTAATCAAGCACTTCTGTATGTAAAGTACTGTGGTAAACTGAAGACTGTTCTGCAGTTTTCTAGTTATAGTCCTCCCTTCTCCAAGTATCAGGATTTTGTGGGCTTAAAAAAAAAAGCAGCAGCTGTTTATACTTTTATACCATTAGACCTTTTTAGCAGTATGGCAATCCGAGTGTGCCTGCACCTACCTCTCTGTTTTCCGATCTTTCTCCTTTCATATCCCTCTTTCTGTGTCTCTGTCTGCTGCTTATCATTTTTGAATTTTTTTTGTAAGATCTATATACAGTATTCTGTTAAAGTTTGAAAAAAACACTATACTTTTGTGGTTCTATCTGCATTTTCTTACTCATCAGTGATGTTGATAAATTTCCACTCATTTTTACTTAATTAGATTTGCTAGATGTCTGTTTAGTTAATCTTGTTGAAAAGCAACCTCTGGTTTAATTCTGCTATATTGTCTAGAAATATTAGAACATTTGTTTCCTTATATACTTTCCTTATATACTTAGAAAATCTGTTTTCCAGTCATTTAATTAAGCTCCAGATCTCTTTTTACTTCCTCTTTGGATCTGCTTTTACTTCCTCTTCTTAAGTTCATTTATTTTCATTTTTACTGATTTTAATGAAGAAAACTATGACCTTTTACTGAACACAGAACAACTCTGGTCTTGTCACATGGGTACTAATGGTTATATATACATTGTTTATAACTGAGACATTCTACTTAATAAGAAACTGCATGTGCTCAAAAAACAAAGTTTCCAACTAGTATTATGTTTCTGTTCAATTTTATCTTGCATTTCTAACAACTTTTGCTTTATGTATTTTCACAGTGTTATCTGGTGATTAAGAAGGCAGTACACTTTTCTTATTTTTTATTTTTTTCTAAAACAAAAGCTACATTCAATTAAGAGGACAATACACTTTTATTTTTGCTTTGTATTATATGCTTTTATCACAAAATTGTCTTTTGTCATGCACTATCTCCTGACTTTCTTGTCTAATGTCAATATGAAATTCTTACTTCAAAAGCATTTTTTAACTTTTTTCAACAATCACAAAAAAAACAGTTATCATATAATCTTCCCTATTTGTAACATGAGTTTACTATATATATATATTTTTGAGATGGAATCTCACTCTGTTGCCCAGGCTGGAGTTCACTGGCATGATCTCGGCTCACTGCAACCTCCACCTCCTAGGTTCAAGCAATTTTGCTGCTTCAGCTTCCTGAGTAGCTGGGATTAAAGAAATGTGCCACCACACCTGGCTAATTTTTGTATTTTTAGGAGAGATGGGTTTTCACCATGTTGGCCGTGATCTTGAACTCCCAGCCTCAAGTGATCTGCCCACCTTGGCTCCCAAAGTGCTGGGATTATAGGCATGAGTCACCACACCCAGCCCTGAGTTTATTATGCTTTTATTATCACCTCTTAAATGTTGATGTTAGTTTTAAGTTGGTATTTAAATTTCAGATAATTAAATTTTTTTATGTTTCCGTTTTCAAGTATGGTCTGATATTTACATTCTAAATTGAATATTGAGTATTTACCACAGTTATTTAAATATCTTGTTTGTAATCAGTGTTCACTGCCAAAACTTTTATTCTATGACTTCATTTTTTTGTTCATAATTTGACATCATTTCTTAATCAGTGGGAGTACATTTACAATTTTTGTTCAACAAGTAATATGTTATATTCAGAAAGTATGTTCTTTCAATTGCCTGTCGTTGTGAAAGACAATTTAGCTTTATTACATGAAAGTAGGGGGCCTCAAAAATATAAATGATCTATTGCTTTCTGGCAATGGTTGAGATAAAATGAGTAAAGTATGGTTTTTATTCCCTCGTGTGTAATATAATATAAAAGTAACATTACTTAATTGCTTACAGGAATTTTTTAAAAGATTTTGTGAGGAAATGGCCATTTGTAAGACTGATAAAATTATTTTTCATTGAATTTTTCCTGAAATATGGTATATCCTTTCTGCATAAAGAAGACTTTCGTCAACACAGGAAAGGTTTTTCCTATTATCTTTTTTAAAAAAATGTGTGTTTAAAAAAACAGAGAGAGAGAAATTGTCCTTCCCTGCAACAGAGTTCAACCATTTAAATCACAAAAGTAAAATCATTGAGATGACTCGTTAATACCAGGTCACCATGTGTTTGGTTGGTAGCTCTGTAATTTATAATAGAATGAAAAAAAGTAGTGGTGGTAGCTATGCATGGGGAGAGGTTCTGCAGCAGGCTTAAAGTTAATAAAGGAACAGTTCAGCAATTTATAGAAAACATAAATGGGATAATGTCATTATAACTCCATTTATACAGGGTATATGTAAAAAAAAAAAAACAAAACCCCTAAGTTACTGACTTCATCATTCTTAGTTAGCTAAGCATTATTCTAGTAACAGCTACCCAGTATTATTCTAAGATATTCAAACATTTTATATATTATAAATGAATCTAGCATGTTCAATCAAATATCATATGTCAAACAGTTGAATGTAGGTTATCTGAAACAAACCTGTGTAACTTTCATCATCATCAGATAAAGGCACCTCTCTTTTTAGCAGCAACTCCAACTCCTCCGTTTCTGCTACATCCACTGGACGCTCCCCATGTTTATTAGCTTGAAATGGATTTCCACCATGACGAAGTAACAGCTTTACTATCTGCAACAAAAAAACACAGGCAGGCTTAGTCCCTTCACAGATTGTATCACTGCACTCATTCTCTTGATAATAAATACTTATAGTATCCTTCTCAGTGTTAATCTCATTTACTCTGTATCCATTCCTCAGCATCTACTCTAAACCGTTATTCTCTTCAAGATCCAATTTCACTGACACTACTCTAATGACCTTAACTTCTACAAAAATATTTCCTCCTTAAAAATTAGTACTTAATCTCATCATTTTTCATCCTGTTTCATCATAAAGTCTATAAGTATTTATTGAGAACTGCTAATAAACCAATGAATAACAAGTTCCCCGGCCTCTTAGAATATATATCCTAGAAAAAGTTTCAAGGAAGCATTTCTCTTCTGCTTTACACTAATATCCCTGTCAATGCTCTTAATCGTAACGTTATTTCCCATAGCCTTAGGGAAACTCTATTTCCCATTCCCTTAGGAATTTTAAGTATCATGAATTTTGAAGCTTAAACTTCAAGACCCATCACTTTCATGGGTCCCTTACAGGAGGATGCTCTATCTAATTTTGTACTCATCATTTTGAAAGGTCTGCTCTCCTTCTCTAACAAATTACATAGGCTTCAAGTTCCATATAATCAGGATCTGCCCTGTTAGTTATCATTATTTGTTTTCTCTTCATATCCTCTTCCTTTCATAGTTTTCTTTTGGAGACAGAGTTTCAGAAAATCTTGTTGCCCAGGCTGGAGTGCAACGGTATGATCTCAGCTCACCACAACCTCCGCCTCCTGGATCAAGCAATTCTCCTGCCTCAGCCTCTTGAGTAGCTGGGATTACAGGCATGCGCCACCACACCTGGCTTATGTTTTTCTATTTTTAGTAGAGATGGGGTTTCTCCATTTTGGTTAGGCTGGTCTCGAACTCCCAACCTGAGGTAATCTGCCCACCTCGGCCTTCCAAAGTGCTGGGATTACAGGTGTGAGCCACTGTGCCCAGCCTTCCTTTCATAGTTTTAACCTTTTTTTGACTGGCTCCTTTCTAGAAGCTAATCTTTCCACAGTTTGTATTTCTTGCACCTTAAAAAAATGGCATTAAATAAATGAAACATGGACAAAACAAGAAACTTCTGTTGAAACCTATATCCTCCTCCCCTAGCTAACCTTTCTTCTTCACTGTCAATCTCCTGAAAAGACATTTGCCCTTGCAGCTGTGACTTACTGGCCTTTCATTCTTTCACCTACCACTCTGCAGCCATTGATCTTATGAAATGGCTCTTTTAAGACCTGAAAAGATCTAAACCAATGATGGTTTCCCTATGACTCTGCCTTTAATATACTTTCTTATGTTCCAATATATATCATCTCTTTGGAGAACTTACCTACTCTAATGTGATGACAATTATGTGATCTATCCATTCATTCTCTTGTCTGCTTTCTCTCTCAGCTCTCTTGAGCTCCAAATGTACATTCATATACTCACTAGATACATCCAACTGATTGTATTCGTATTTTAATACAAAAGCATAAAGCCAACAGGACTCAAATGGAGCCCACTAAACTTGTACTATTATTTTTTATCTATTTCCATTCTCAAAAACTGGCAACAAAATCTACCTGGTCACTAAAGCCTTGGAGCCAGTACTTGAAAGTCATAATCAATTCTTCTTTTTCACTCATACTCTACATCAAAGTAGTAGTCAGGTTTTATTGATTCTGCTTCCTTACCATCTCTTCTCGTTTTGATATTTGGTGTATTTCCATTAACACTAGTATGTTCTATTATACATAAACCTATACTACAATTCATTAACCCATTTCCCCCCTTGGACTACATGCTTCATATAGAATCAGGTCTTTATTCATCTCTGTATTCTGAGCACATAACTATAGTGTTTTCTGGTACTTAGAAAATTCATCACACCTTAAAAAATATTTAAATGATTAACAAGAAACAGATGAATATTAACTGCATTTACCATTAAAGGAACAATTTAAAACAAGATACCAAAATCAGAAATTTGTAACAAATTATTTAAGAATAATGATTCACAATAAATTTAATAAAGAAAATATTTTTTCTAGATTACTGCGGAAAATTTGAAATGTATAAGGAAAACAAATTACTCATGATACCAACTGTTAACTGCTTAATTTTTATCAAATTACACATCCTTATGATTTTAAAAGATCAACTAGCTTTCCAAGTCTGCTGATGAACAATTGCCCCCAGTCATCTACCAGGGTGAGAGAGGTGCAATTACTGGACTGTGCAAGATTGCGGAGATGATGCGAGGGCTAAAAAACCTTTGATCTAGTATTTGTTTCCAGTCATATCTTAAGAAGCACTTCCAGAGGTCATTGGTGCTATCAATTCATAAGCTTTTTTCTTTCTAGAATTCTGTGTTGTAATGGCTTTAGTTTCAATTTTCTTGTCTCTTTTAAATCAGAGGTAGGCAAATTATGACCCATGGAACAATCTGGTCTAACAGCTAAGAATAGTTTATATATTTTTAAAGGACTGTTGAAGGAGAAGAGAATAGGAAAGGAAGGAGGTGGGAAGAGGCAGAGGAGAGAGCTTGTGGCCTCCAAAGCCTAAAATATTTACTATTTGGCCTTTCATTGAAAAAAATTGTCAAATCCTGTTCTACGTCAGTAACTGCTAATTTCTCCAATTTCCATCTTCCAAAATATTTGTTTCTTCTGTTCTTTGCCCTTGTGAGTTTATGTCCTTTGAAACTTCCCCTTACAGTCATTTTAGGGATTTGAGAAAGTAACTGAAATAAAAATCTTCTAGTCATTATAAATAATACTGCAGTGGATATCTTTATAAGTTGAAATGTTTCCAATTTTAGGCTTATTTCCTTAGACTAGAGCCCTAGAATGAGAAAACAGAATAAATAATTTTGATATTGCTGAAGCTTTCTATTCCCATCGGGAATACATCAATACTTATTACAATGACTATGATGAGTCAGGTATAGTTGGTTAATTCACATGTTACAAACACCCTAAGTGAAATAATCAACATTTTACAGATCATTCTCAAGTGCAAATAATTGTTCTTAAAGTTGCTTAAAATATAACAGTCAACAAATCAGCAGTAGGTAAAAATGACAAAAAAAAATGATAGGTATCTAAAATAGAACTAGAAATAAGGCTAGTATTTAAAATGTATATTATGGTGAGGTGTGGTGGCTCACACTTGTAATCCCAACACTTTGGGAGCCTGAGGCGGGAGGATCGCTAGAGCTCATGAGTTCAAGACTAGCCTGAACAACACAGGGTCTCCACAAAAAAATTTAAAAAGTAGCCTAGCATGGTGATGCATGCCTGTAGTCCAGCTACTGAGGAAGCTGAAGCAAGAGGATCGCTTGAGCCCAGGCAGTAAGCTGTGATTATGCCACTATACTCTACCGTGGGTGACACAGCAATATGCTGTCTCAAAAAAAGATGTGTATTATGAATTACTATACATTTGCAAACAAGAAGTCAAAAATTAGGTTCTTAGTAAGCTATGTTAATCCTCTTTAAATAATTCAGACCTGGCTCCAGAACTGTTATATTTATGCTTTCCCCATCTTATAAATGCTTTATGGATGGCTGAAGTTGTCATGACTATTACTGAAAGAAAGAAATCTAATTATTTGGGAGGGGCTCAGAATACATATAATGAATACAGAGAAATGAATTTTTGGTGGCTCTCATTACTCCTCCTAAGGCACAAGTAAAAAGAACAAGGAGAAAATAGCTCTTGAATTGTGACTCCTACTATCCTAGGCATCTTGGTATGAAGACAAGGAAAGGAAAGGTCCCTTGAAGACAGCATGCCAGTCTCCTTCTGGGAAGAGACTAGAAATAGTGTGAGTCCTCATAAGTGCATGAGCTCAAAAAGTCAGGTTCTGGAAATATTCTGCAGCTATGTGCATATTAAAAACTCTTGTGCAGCCAGGCCACAGTGGTTCACACCTGTAATCCCAGCACTTTGAGAGCCTGAGGCGGGTGGATCATGAGGTCAGGAGTTTGAGACCAGACTGACCAACAACATGGTGAAACCCCAGCTGACTAAAAACACAAAAATCAGCCAGGTGTGGTGGTGCATGCGCCTGTAATCCCAGCTACTCAGGAAGCTGAAGCAGGAGAATCGCTTGAACCTGGGAGGCGGGGGTTGTAGTTAGCCAAGATCGCGCCACTGCACTCCAGCTTGAGCAACAGAGAGACTCTCTCAAAATAAAAAAAAAAACAAACAAAAACTTGTGTTCACAGAAACCATGTCTTAGTCACAGGTATAATTCTTTAAAATTATACTTAGAAATCAGGAAACCTTTATTATCATATTCAAAGGAAAATTATCCATTCCTGGTAAACTATCAAAATACTTTTTTTAAGGGATAAGATTTAAAATATCAAAGCCAAAAAATAAGTCAGTTTCTGATAAATTCAGAGGAAAGGGCAATTTACCCTCCACGTGGTCAGGCCTGATGGATTTAAGTTTTTGTCATTCTGCCTATCTTCAGTCAGTTATCTATTCATCTACCTATCCACACATCTACACATGCATCTATGTTGGGTTTATAGAACATTTCTAGGTGATAAGCAGTTTCAGACTAAGTAACAGAAAACAACACAAAATGCCAGTATGCACGGTAGTATTTGCAGTCTAGTGCAGGAAACATGACACTAGACAAGAATATCAGTAAAAAATGTAGTAAATACTGTGATATAAGATTTGTACAAACTGCCAAAGGAGCACAGAGGAAAGAATTGACCATGGGTAAGCAAGAATCAGTTTAGAAAAATTATAGGCTACATTTTTCTTTAAAATAAGATTTATTTACTGAGAAATATAAAAAAAATACCATACAAAAATGTAGTTGAGAAAAATAACATTTTTAATTTCTGAATTTTAGGTGTATTCGACTGCACTCATAAAGTCAGCTTTTAAATTTTTATCTGATATTTCTGGAACATCTTAAATTTCAATGTGCATTTATATGTAGTGCCTTTTTTCCTTTAAAATATCCATTTTAAATAGATATTATTTATCATATAATTTAAAGATGAGGAAACAGAGGTTCAGAGGAGGGAAGTAACCCATTCGAGATTACAAAGCTAGCCAGAACTGCACTTGTATCTATCTTTACTCCAAATTCTGTTTTTGTCTCAAGTAAAGTAAAAAGCCTTTCAAAAGATAGGCAATGCAATATTGTACAATTTTTACTATACATAAAGACTGCTTTAACACATCCAATTGGCTTATAAAAAAATGCTAAATCTGAATATGAAGTAAAAGTTAGAAAGTAGAAAAAAGGGAAAACAAAATACAGATGAGTTGATCAAGCAATGAGTGGAATATGACACAAGATCATAAGACTAAGAAGTGAATGAAATTACTTGGGGTTGAATTTATGCTTTTGAAAATGTGTATTATTGATTTTTTTCTATCATACTTACATCTCTGTGCCCACTACTAGCAGAATCATGGAGTGGAGTGTCATCATCTAATCCTTGTGTGTTAACATCTGCTCCAGCTGCTATAAGTATCTTAGCAACATCATAATATCCAACATTGCAAGCTTCATGCAGTGGTGTCCAACCTAAAGTCAGATTATTAATTTAACATGATTCACTTGAGCTAATTCAAAATATACACTTTTCATATACATATCTATGTGTGACATATCAATTCTAAAAGTGCACATAATGCAAAAGAAAAAAGGAGTGAAGACGCAGCTACTAAAAATCAACACCTAAGAACAATACCAATTTACTGAAGGTTCATTAAAAATATTCCTGTTGATCCTTGAACAAGGTGAAGGTTAGGAGTGTTAACCCCAATGCAGTCAAAAATCCACATATAACTTTTGACTCCCCAAAACTTAACTATTAATAGCCTACTATTAACTGGAAGCCTTACCAGTAACATGAACAGTTGACTAACACATATGTTGTATATGTATTACATACTCTACTCTTACAATAAAGCAACCTAGAGAAAAATTATTTAACCAAATCATAAGAAAAATATTATTCGTTAAGTAGGAGTGGATTGTCAAAAAAGTCTTCGTCATCTTCACATTGAGTAGACCGAGGAGGAGGCAGAAGAGGGGTTGGTCTTGCTGTCTCAGGGGTGGCAGAGGGAGAAGAGGTAAAAGTAAAGATGGGAGAAGTAGGCACACTTGGTGTAACTTCACAAAAATACACTGTAATTTGTGTCTTTTTTGCTTTTTCATTTCTCTGAAAATGTTTTAATACAGTGCCACCATCCTCCTTCTGATGTTTGCTCTAGTTTCAGTGCCTGGATCATAAAATGGTTCATATAAAAAAAAAGTCAAAGTAGCCTTAAATTATTGGAACCCTCTAAGGTCAATCTGTTTTACAGCATGGCTTCTTCTAAGTCTTCTTCCTTATCACCTGAAACTGTTTTTTTTTTGAAGCACTCAGCTCCATCAAGTAATCTATTAATACCTCTGATGTGGTATCTACTAGCTCTTCAATTTCTCTAATATCCAGATTTTGAAACTTTTCACCCCCCAGCTTTTTTGCCATATCCACAATCTCTTTCATGATTTCCCTGACTGGTTCTGTGGAAAATCCTGTTAAGTCATACACAACATACGGATAGTTTTCTCCAGGAGACAGCTTTTTAACAATGATGGCATCTTCAATGGTGTCTTCTTTCCAGACTTTCATGACCTTCTATCAGAGTTATCTTCTATAGCATTGACAATCCTTTCCTCAGAGTACTTGTGTAAGGAGGCTTAAAGTTCCTTATGATCTTCTAATTAGAGGCTGGTTTAGAAACTGTGTTTGTATAGCACTTCAATGCCTTTGGTGTTGAATTCACAGGGTTCTGAGTGGCCAGAAGACACTAAAAGACAGCCTCCTTCCTGGCAAAGTACTTCCTGACTTCAGGAAGAAATAGATGACATCAATTCAGAAAAGAGTTCTCACTGTCCAGGCCTTCTTGTTATACAACCAAAAGACTAGCAGCTGGATTTATCTTTTCCTTTTGAGGTTCAGGGGGCAGTCCTGATCATAAACCCAACTGTATTTACATAAAACAGCGAAGTTGTCCAATCCCTTCCAGCCCTAAATCTTGGTGCTTGCTTCTCTTCCTTACTAATAAATGTACTTTGTAGATTTTTCTTTTTCCCAGGGGTACTTCTGTTCACATTAAAAAACTGTACAGGCAGATATCCTTTCTTCTCACTGATTTTCTTAATGGTATCTGAGAATTCATCTGCTGCCTATCAGTGGGCAGAAGTTGCTTCTCCTGTTATCTTGACATTTTTAAAGCCAAATCTTGTTCTAAAATTATTAAACCATCCTTTGCTGGCATTAAATTCCCTAGCTTTAGATCCTTCACCTTCCTTAAAACTGTTGTATAATGACCTCCTGTTTTCTTGAATCATATTAGAGTCCATATGTATGTCTTTTTTATAGTAATCCTGCATCCACATAAAAGATGCATGAGATAAAAGAATGTTTAGCAAAAAAGTGCAAGGTTTTCAAACCCACTAGCATAGCTGCAGCAATGGCTTTACACATTTCCTTTTCTTTTTTTCAGCAGTCCTTATGCTGGATTCACTTATCTTGAAATGGCAGGAAACCACAGCTACAGACCTTAATTTATAGACATTATCAAGCAATTCAATTTTTTCTTTTAATGTCATAACTTTTCTGTTTCTTATGGGCACTTCCAGTATCACTAGTAATACTTAAAATGGGTCCCCTGGTGTTATTCAAAGCTTACAGTATTCTACTAAACGTGATGAAAAACAGGCAAGAATCACACATTTCACTGTGGCACACAACTTACTGGAGAGACGCACTGCTTATGGAGATAATTTGTGTCAGTCACATGGTGTTTTAAGCAAATACTCCAAACATTTGAGCTCACTACAATGGCAACAGGAGATAGCTATGCAACTATTACAGGAGTAAAATATGTACTAAATTTTATGCAGTTATTATTTAATACTGCACCTTTACATTTATTTACACTTCTCCTGACTCTGAATGGTGCCACATATAGCCTATGTTTGTATACATATACTGTAACTTTTTAGAACAGATTTGTGTATATTTTATGGGAGTAAGTTATAGAATAGACTAGTATCTAGGTATCTTTTATGCACTCATTATATATTTAATTTTTTCCTAGTTTTTCAATATTTCTAGGCTATGCAGTTCATCTATGAGTTTTTCCAAATTGTTCTGAATCTCAAAAAAAAAAAGTCCAAAATATTTACTGAAAAAAATCCACATATAAGAGGACCTACACAGTTCAAGGGTCAACGTTATTTCCACTGTGCTAAATTATTACACAAAAGTATTAAATATTTAAGCTTTCCAATAAATATGTTTGATGTAATTAATAATCATTTAAACTATGAAAAAGAATTTTAAAGAGGCAAAATATTAATAAGCTTGATTAGTATCTTTCAGTAAACAAAAATCCTGATGCTTAGGGCTTTATTCTGTTGATACAATATTTTCTGGACTTAATACTTATTTTATCTAAAATAGACTTATCTTACTTTTGTAATAAAGTTACATGTTCACAAAAGAAATATCAGATAACTTAAAAATACTAAGAAAATAAACATGGTCCATAATCTCACCACCCAGATATAATAATTTGAAGAATCCAACATAATATCTACTAGCTGTCTCTCCCACATATTGCTAAAACTTAGACAACAACCTGCTTCCTCTATTTACTAAAGTGAAAATAATTCCCTATGTCATTATAATTTTCTACAGCTTAGTATTGTACTAATATACCATAATTTACTTCAACGAGCTCCTATTACTAAGGATACAGATTGCTAGTTTTTAATTAGAAACAATGCTGTAACAAGTATCCTTACAACTAAGTCTTCATGCGCATCCATGATTAACTATTTAAAATAAATCCTTGGAAGTGAAATTGTCAGATGAAAGAAATATTTTTTAGGTTTCTGATAAATGATGTCAAGTTTTCCTCTAGAATAAATGCCATGCATTTTAAGTCTCATTCTTTAAAGTAGATACGGTGTATCGCACCTTTTCCCCACTCATACCAAATAAAGACATAAATTCCAGGTATATTATAATAGGGCTACATGTAAAAACAAAACAAAAACAAAATTTGAAAAACATAAAATACAGGAATAGTTTTATGATATAGAGAAAGGGAAGGCCTTCTTAAATAAAATACCAAACCAAGAACCCATAGCACTCAATTGATATGATACACAGAAGATGAAAATGTTAGTACAATAAGCACTGTAATGAGTATTTATTCAACATAAGTCACAGACCGTGAAAATATTTACACATTTGATAGAGAAAATCTAGACTAAATAAAGGCTATTGGAGGTTAAAAACAGTACTAAACCAAAAGAAAATAAGCAGAGTGGATTCAGCAATTAATAAAATACACATAAGTTTATAATAAACATAAGAAGAAATGTTTACCATCACTACTGATCATGAAAATCCAAATTAAGATTATATTTTCATTTGTCAGATTGTTAATAATTAAAAGTTGATTAATTCCAGTTTTAGTAAAGATATGAGGAAAATGGCTCTTTCACATACTTTTAATGGTAGTATGAACTGATACAGAATTTTGGGGGGGGCAATTCCATTATTTCAGAAATTTAAAATATGTATCCCTGTTAATTTAGCAATTTCACTTTTACTGAAATACTTCCACAAACATACACAAAGATGTTTATGGGTATTTACTACAGTGTTGCCTATGAAACACTATATTAGAAAATATTATGCAGCTATTAAAAATTAATGAAGTAGGCATACCTATATTTACTGATAGAAATATCTGTGAGATATTAAGGCAGGTTGCAAAACTACAGATTGATACAGATGGAATAATTTCATTTTAAAAAGCCTGTAAGTAAATATTTACTTTATACATATATAATAAAAAATGAACTGAAACAGTAACCTCCTAAGTGTTAACAATAGTTCTACAGAACAGAAAGAACCTGTGTGGGAGAAAGGTTGTTCTTTCTGTTCTGTAGAACTATTACATACTGTTATACATACTGTTATACAGTATGTAATATTAAAGATAATTTCTGTACTGTTCTCTACATACTTTTATTGTTTGAATTATTTACAGTAAGAATCTACTGGTATGCTATTTGAATCCTGAAAGTAACAACACCACACTCTTACAGTCCTCATGATCCAAGTTAATAAATGTTTTTAAAATGCTTATGAACAAATTAACTACTTTGAAACGTTATATAACTCTATTTCATCTAGGACAAAATCTAACTTGGATAAAGAACTATATAAGTAATATGTCAACTAAAGTATAAGTTTAGTATGTAAAAATATAAGTAATTATTGACATGGAATTGTAGCAGAGATCAGGGCTTTTATGTACACTCTCCAAAAGTTCTGTAATAACAAATAGTTTTAGAACTCTTTCATTTCAGCAACAAAAGGGATAAAAGAATGTGGATTAAACTGTAACCAGGATCTGTTTAAATTTTAGTGTCTAATTAGTAGGTCTTGAATTACTAGTCTTACCTGCAAAATCTTTCACATTCACATTTGCCCCTAAACTTATTAATTCTTTAACTTGCTTAACATCTCCTCGAATAGCGGCCATGTGTAAGGGAGTTTCACCACGTTCATTTCTTTTATTAACTTTATCTTTCTGACGAGATGAAGAACTAGGAGTTTTCTTTTGGGCAGGTGTTGTTTGTGATGGATGACTTGGTGTGGAATCTGCAAGAAACAAGAAAGTTAGCAGAAGTTCTAGGCTAAATATTTTCCTCGAACATAAGGAATACCTTCTCACTCTAACAACCTAAACCTTGATTTGAATGATACGGTAATGACCCAAATAGACAGAGGAGATCTTCCCTTAGGGCTATCAAATATTATGAGCCAATTTTAAAAAAGTATTAACTCATAAAATTGGTTTAAAATGATAAAGTATCAAATATGCACCCTAAAATGTTTGCTTAATCAATATTTTTTCTAGGTATGTTATGCTATTATTCTAAGACCTAGAGGAAGTGAAATTGAAGCTGTAGTCCACACCTCCAAATCAGAAAAAGCACTGCAGTTCTAGTCTTTTATTATGTGCAAATCAAGGTCATAATGATTTTACTATGAAAATAAAAGTGAGGAGCTACAAAAAATAAGGGCAGTCTGGAAAAGGGCCTTTAAAAACTGGGCTTTGCCTTGATTCCCTTATTTTAATATTTGTTCTAGTTTTTGTATTTAAAAAAATGAGGAAGTTAAATTGGATGATGCCAAAGGTCTCCTCTCCAATTTCAAAACTACAAAAACTTTTTTTAAATCCTTAATTAAGAATTCAAGACATATATACAGGGTTTACTCTGAAGATTTACAACTATTGAAAAGAAACTGCTCTAAGAGAAAAGAAATCTGTGAAAATTAACTTTTTACCAGTCTTAAAACCTAACATGATTAGAGCTCTGGATTTTTTTTTTTTTTTTTTGAGACAGAGTCTCTTTCTGTCACCCAGGCTGGAGTACAGCAGCCCTATCTTGGCTCACTGCAAACTCTGTCTCCTGGGTTTGAGAAATTCCCCCACCTCGGCCTCCTGAGTGACTAAGATAACAGGTGAGTGCCAGCTTGCCCAGCTAATTTTTGTATTTTTAGTAGAGACAGGGTTTCACCATGTTGACCAGGCTGGTTTCAAACTCCTTGCCTCAAGTTATCTGCTTGCCCCGGCCTCTCAAAGTACTCGGATTATAGGCGTGAGCCACCACACCCAGCCCTAACTTTTGGATTTTAAAGTACATTGTCACAGTAATAGTTTCCTACCAAAGTTTTTCTAGAAACTTATACTCCCTAAGTGAAGGGCCTTATCTATCCTATTTATCACTGCTTAGAAGACTTCTTAGCACACAATGGTATTCAACAAGTATTTGTTGAATGAGTAAATTTTAATATAATCCTTAGTCAAATTATTTGTCAGGAGAATTTGCTTGCTGAATTTCTTAAAATATGAAGACTTATCTAATGGATAAAACAACCATAAACTCCAAGTATATCTACATGATGGCAAACAGCTTAATATTTAAAAAGCTTTCCATTCTAAATACATATTAATACAGACAGTTGACTAAGAATCACCCTTAAAAGGACCAACTACAGAACAGTATTATAGTATACTCCTGTTTATATTAAAAAAAAAACCCAAGCAAAAGATATGTATTTGTAAATTTACACCTAGAAAAGCCCCAGAAATATATATAAGAAACTGTTAATAGTGGTCAACTCTTAAAGGGAGGTCACTGGAGATGAAAGATATTTATTTTTTGTCTCTCATATTAAACTTTTATTTTAAGAAGGACAAAGGTTCATGTTATTTAAAAAAAATGTCTTTCCATTTAACTATTAAATCAGACTCAAAGTCAAAACTTCACAGAAACAGTCAAAGTTTTTACACGGTAAAATATCTTTATTTTGGCCACAGACAATCCCAAGTTGGAGGTGGAAAAGGTAGGAGTAACCACAACATACTCTATTAAAAGCAGGAAGCCCTAAAATGTTTTTTAGCAGTGAGAGATACTAGATACAGTCATGCTTTGAAATTACGATACTTAGAAACTCTTAGGAATTTAACCATGTTGTCCCATTTTTTTAAAAGAGGCAATACAGGAAAAAAACTCACTGAAAAAAATTCTCTTTTTCAATGCATTTCAACATGGTCTATTATGAAACCCAGTGTCTTATAAAATTCCTTTGAATTCAGGGCCAAAAGAAATTTTCTCCAGACAAAAGTGATTTACTTTCCTGAATCAGTCAATGAGAACTATGTAACTCAAAATTTTTCTTTTGTACTTTTAGCTGCCAGCATGCATAGGTAAGTTCAATATGACTAGTAATAACCATCTCAGGCCAGTTGTCTGGATTTTATCTACCTTTTTAGCAACCTTTTATAAATTAGCACATTTTTTGGTTTGTTCTCTTATTGTTTTTGCCCTGCTAGTAAGTCATCATCAATTATTTTTGGAGCACACAGCATATATATAAACAAACACATAGCATATATATAAACACACATACAAGTGGCACAACACCTTAATTGGAAGTGTGACATGAAATATAAGATAAACATACTGCTGACATTTTCCTTATTAAACAATTTAGATCTTAATAAAATATAAATTATGCACAGTGTAAAGAGTCTACTCTTGTATAGCGTCTACTTTAGCAGAGGATACAAATGATAAACTGTTACACAAACAAAATCATAGAATTACCACTAACTTACAAGTAATTCTGATTAAATTCAAGGAATAACAAAAAATAAAAGTAGTTAAAATAATTGTTAAGACAAGGCTACAGTTGCCTGAGAAAAACCAAGGATACACATTAACTCAATGATGGTAGGTATCACCTGGACTGTTGTCTCTTGCCGTCATCTGCATAAGAAGTGCCATCTGTTTTCGCTCAGAGAGTGGATAACCAAAAAGAATGCTGACTGGTGTGGATTTCTTATTTCCAGCTTCTTTTTTGGTTTTCTTCTTTTCTGGACCTTCTTTCTCTGGAATTATTAATAAATATGTAAGAATTTGAAACAAATCCAAGTATTAAAAAGCAAATGTAAGATGATTTGATAGATGCTATACATATATATGAGAAACGTGTACGATATATAAACTAGTAATAGCCAGACAAAAGCACAATGGTTTTTATATCATATAAACAAATTTCTTCCTGATGGCTTTGAAAACAATATACTCTTAATTCTATTGTTTCCAGAAAATTAGTAATACTTGGAAATTTATTACTAGTAAAATTTTACCTTAATGAGTTGTTTTGGTAAAATTTAATTCCTTGGTAACACCGCAGACATTCCTTAGTATTGCATCTCTGAAACCGCTTTTATTCATTATGATTTTATTTGTAATTGCTGATAAGCCTAAATAGCAATGTTCCTTCAAATTACGTAATTTCAGCAATGATTTACACAATCTTCCAACAAGGTAAATAATTAGGACAAGTCTCATCACACAGAGTAACTATTGAAAAAAATTACCAAATCATTTTATTCCAGTCATAGGATAGCTGAATATGAAATGACATTAATCAAAGTTAAGAATTTATAGATTCTGTGTGGCTATGGGTTAACAGATCTTGCAAAGATCGAAAAATTTTCAAGGACCTTTTCAGAGAGATGTGATCCATCATAAAGTTCACTCTCAGATTGAACTACCTGGGAAACTCATTAGCAATGCAGCCTGCATTCCCCATCAAGGGTCAGAAAATTCAGACTGAACTGAATTTTGTAATTAAGAGATACAGATGTTTGTCTTTTCTTTAAGACTTCTTTGTGAGTTAATGCAGGTGCTCTGTGCAACGAAATGCAGAGGTCTGGCTATTACCTGTCCGGGCATCTATTTATTGGAAAACCCTACACAAGTATCTGGAATTTATTGATCCAGGTTTGAGGGTACCTGCAACGAGGAGCTGCAAACATAAATATTTAAAAATAGCAAAAATGGGAGAAGGGAAGATTTAGTGGTCAAAACAGCGTCTTTTTTCAAGCAGATAAGAACAGCAGCTAAAATACTCTAAAAGATAAGCATGTATTAATCTAGAAAGTGTAAAGAAACTAATTAAAACCTGATATTAGCAGGCAAAAGAAATTAAAGTAATAATTATTCCAGTGTGCCACTTAATTAGGATAAACTGTCACCTTTACAGCTGAGAAAAATCAGAGGTCCTAATATTTAAAAACTCTGCTGCTCACAAATCTTTCAAAAATTAAGTATTTCCTAAAAAGTCCATTTTCTTGAATATTTAATTTTGCATAAAAACAAAATTTCAAGACTTGTTTAAATCAACTATATTTTTTCCAGTATAATCTTTTGTTTTCATATTTCATATTTTATTATCATTAATGATCCAATTTAGTATAAATCCAATCTCAGCACAGTTATTTTCCTAACTTACGCTACGTTATAAAGCCCTAAACAGGTCTCTGAAGAAGCCAATTTTTTCCTGACGCATGTATGGAGTCTTTCTATTAATTTTCTGTGTTTCTTGGTTCTCTGGTATTTAATAAGAAACCACAATTGTTGTTGTTTTAATGGTTTTCTATTTGAACAAGTCTTTATAATGAATGTATTTCTCTTCTAAAATTAATGTTTAACATTATGAAATTTTATAGAAAAGATGTTTCAAATATCTAGCAATCAGAGGAAACAAAAAATACTTAGCATCTCTCAAAATATTGTCTAAATATTGGGGAAAATTTTGCATTTCTGTTTGCAAAACAGTTGCCTTTTTTGTTCTGACTGCATTTTAACACAAGGTTTTTAAAAAGCCACTCTAATGTGATAAAGTAATACATACCCAGGCAAGAGTAAAAAGATACTTATAAGTGCATCATTAGAATACCATGGTGTCAAATATTCAAATATCTAATTATTTTGGAAATAAACAAATTGAATATATTCCAAATATTTAAAGCAAAAATTTGAATCAGATGCTAGCCTCCAATATAAACTCTATTTTCTTTGAGGCGCTATAGTCATATGTCTGAGTTCATATTCTGCATGAGACAGAAAAGTAAGTAAATAGCAGCTGGTATAAGGCAGCTAGGATAGAGACAACCCTGCTGTTTGTCAAAACTGTGTTACACTAGTATGTCCCAAAGTATGCGTTTTCAAGTTTAAAGCAGTCAACAAGACTATCTGGGATTTGTCCTGTAAATAATTTGCTTCCTCTGACCCATCATAAATAAAAAAACAATAATATACTATATATTTGATAAAGAGTTAGCTATTTCTTCTGTCAGGAAGGTGATTAAATAATACTCTAAAAAAACAGCTACTTCTCAAGATTCAGTACCTAAAAAATGTACTTATTTGCCCTAAAAATTGGCAAGAACTTTGAAGTTTAAATGTAGATATACTGACAAATGTGCTCAGTTAGCACAGTCAAATATAAACTTAAGATCCATTCAGACAGCCTAGAGATTTTTAAGAGATACAAGAGACTGGCTGGGCATGGTGGCTCATGCCTTGTAATGTCAACACTTTGGAAGGCCAAGGCAGGCGGATCACAAGGTCAAGAGATCGAGACCATTCTGGCCAACATGGTAAAACCCAGTCTCTACTAAAAATACGAAAATTAGCTGGATGTGGTGGCACACGACTATAGTCCCAGCTACTCGGGAGGCTGGAAGTAGAAGTAGAACCACTTCTATCCAAGAGGCAGAGGCTGTACTGAGATGAGATCCTGCCACTGCACTCCAGCCTGGTGACAGAGCAAGAGTCCGTCTCAAAAAAAAAAAAAATCCAAGAGATTCATTTAAGACTATTCAAAACAAATAGAGAAATGGATTTTTCAACACTCCAATATTCTTTCAAAGGTTAGAGATCTTCAGATACACAAAGATGTTCCAGTTTTATAATGCTGAAAATTATGCTTTCTTTTCAGGTCTTGTTAGAATAAACAGAAAGCTCAACATTGTCACATCCCAAACAAGTATAAAGTACTTATTAAGGAAAAGAGACAAAATTGTTTTTCTTAGGGAAGTTGGTTCATAAACCTATTAATGCCTCAAAAATTAAAGAATACAACATCTTCTTACAAAGCAGCACTATAAGAAACAATGGAGTCACAATTCAAACATAGATCAACATAATTAAATCAATCATGTTTGCAATGTACAGACCTCAGTTCTGAAAAAACAAAAAAAACAAACTGCCATTACTCTCTGGTTCTAAAATACCTATATGAATCTCTCTAATTAAATGTCTGCATCTTTTGATTTCCAGCAATGATACTCAGATTATGGATGGCTTCACACACATACACAGCTCTTTCAGGGGCATTCTGGTGCTTAGAAGTCACCTTTTAAAAAAGCATGCCTAGGCAGATTATGAGGTCAGGAGTTTGAGACCAGTCTGGCCAACATAGTCAAACCATGTCTCTACTAAAAAAAAAAAAAAAAAAAAAAAGTACAAAAAATTAGCCGGGTGTGGTGGTGTGAGCCTGTAATCCCAGCTACTTGGGAGGCTGAGGCAGGAAAATTGCATGAACCTGGAAGACGGAGGTCGCAGTGAGCCAAGATCGCGCCATTGCACTCCAGCACGGGCAATGGTGCCAGACTCCACTTCAAAAAAAAAAACCAAAGCAGAAGAGAAGAGACGAGAAGAGAACAGAGCAGAGCATGCCTAATCCACAGTAACTAACTAAAAATATGCCCCGCCCCCCCCTCAATTTTGGTAACTGGCACTATATCAGCTCAATTAAAACTTTCAGGATAATTTTAAGAATAATTATTTGGTTCTTCCACTGCCCCACCCAACCCCACAAATGAATAAAATAAATAAAAAGTATATTAAAAGCAGGTTTACTTTAGTTTTTATAGCTAAACATCATATGCTGAAAACTAGACACTTAGACACCCAGGGGCTAAACAATATTCACATTTTTACTTAAGTTCAGAGATAACAATGTTAGCCAATTTTAAAAAAGGCAATTCAAAAAACATTTAATTAGCTTTCACATACTAGAGAACACACTTATTTTTGAAGAGGACACAGTACTTATATATTCTCTTATATTCTATCTGGAGCAATGTAACATATAACAACAGGTGCCACAGCTTAATAGAGAGGTTGCAATACAGTTAGTTGTAACAGCATTTCTCTAGGTGACCTGGTATTTTAATTCACTTACGGTTAAATTTAACCTAAGCAACAAAGGCAATAAAGACTAATGAGTTCAACAGAAAAATAATTTTATTAAATGTGTTTTTTAAAAAACATCACCTGACTGAAGGGTAAGATGACACTATGGAAATCAGTATATTTGGTATACCCTGTGATGGGTATACACAAAATGCTTGGGTATCTTCCCACAGGAGTCACTGCACTATGCAACACCAGGGGTTGACTCTCACACTGTTTTCTACATGAACGGTGTTCCCCACATGGCACTATAAAAAATTGGAATGGAGGTATATGGCAGTCCTGCTACAAGGTTCAAACATAGCTTATGTTGGATATGATACACTGAGTACCTTGGAACAAAAATGGGAAAATGTGGTGTCACCAATGTAGTTCATTTATTTAACCAAAGATATCTATATACTGGCTTGAAAATAAGTTACTTGTAATACAATAATTAATTGTAAATGTGACAGAAACCACTGGCTAAACAGGAGCACCTGATAATCTAATTACCTGAGTATGTCCTGTAAGAAGATATAAGTCTCTCCCCCCAATTTTCACTTGTATGTCCTGGATCTGAATCTACAGAATGAGAAGAGACAGGAGAAGAGAAAAAAGCACACGGAGGGAAATGCAGAATTCAACAAACCAACATTTTTCAAAAGACTATGAATTAGTTAATAAGCTATCATTGTTTTTCCAAAAGATTATTTTTAAAGTAAAGCCAAAAGTATATTTAAAACACAGGTTTGGTCAACACCTAGTATTTCAAATTCTTCAGCAAAAATATCTTAAAGTTGGGAAATTCAACTATGCAGTTTCAGTAACAGGTATTACTGATGTTATGTATTAAAATATACTCTCTTTTGAGGCTATATATTTTTTCAATCTCTGAATAACAGTAAAAGAGGCAGTACTCTATCATTAGTTTTCTGTTTAGAATTTGTCTTTAGAAAACCTGAATCAAGCTTTTTGTTCTATGAGTGACAATACTACTCTGGAGACAGTAAAACATGGTGGACTGCACTATCATCCTAGACCACAGGCCTTTCTACAAACTGTATACACTTCAAATGATATACATTACTACAGTGCTTACTACTGAAGACCACCTAGAAAGAAAGTAACCTAAATCAAAACAAAGTTTATCAGTTAAGAATATGGAATTCTGGCTGGGCACAGTGGCTTAAGCCTGTAATCCTAGCACTTTGGAAGGACGAGGCGGGTGGATTACCTGAGGTCAGGAGTTCCAAGATCAGCCTGGCCAACATGGTGAAACCCCGTCTCTACTAAAAGTACAAAAGTTAGCCAGGTGTGGTAGTGCACACCTGTAATCCCAGGTACTCAAGAGGCAGAGGCAGGAGAATCACCTGAACCCAGGAGGTGAAGGTTGTGGTGAGCTGAGATCGTGCCACTGCACTCCAGCCTGGGTGATAGAGTGAGACTCTATCTCAAAAAAAAAAAAAAGAATATGGAATTCTGCCTAACAATTCATGACAAAGAAATATGAATATGGAGAACTGACCTTGGCAATATGGCCAGAGCAGATATTTTTACTTATTAATGTATTTTGATTTATAAATGCCATTTCAACTCATAATATTATTGTGATATTCATATCCTCAATTGACAAACTTTTTTCCAGGATCACTGTTACACAGTATTCATGATTTCAATTAGGTATCAATAACCAAGTGTTCAAGAAAAAAAAAAAAAAAAACTTAGAGAACAAGTAATCTTTAAACATAGTATTTGAAAATTGTACAGTAAGCCTAAAAGTTTAGTGATGAGGTTTACTCAACTGAAAGGAGAATCAATAACATTTAGACCAACTCTAAGGTAAATGGGCTGAATCGTAAGACTTTCAATGAACACATATTTCCAAATGGAATACATTAAGTTAGCAACTACAAAAATTTCATGAAAAATATTTGACATTTAAAGACAAGCAAAAAATTTTAAATAACATCCATAGATTGCAAAGCAAATCAACAACCAATCATTAAATTGTGCCAAATGGATTAAATGAATTATTGAAAGCAGATATCATTTTAATAGATTAAAGCACAGTGAATAAACTAACCTTTCAATTATATTCATTAATGCAGTTTAACAGCTCAACCAAAACTTCCTTCCGAGGTAAGCAACCACTCTGACCCCACACGCTCTTTGGCTTTTACTCAAATTAAGTAGTTTATACTGGGGGTATCTGAATAGTCTATAAAGCTTTAACTCAGGAACTAGAAAATTAAAGCTTCTATTGACATATACCTGTCCCCTTCCTCAACTACTTCCTTTCATGCTGTACTGAGACAAGGCTGTATGAGATTACCACTGTTTATGAGATTCATGTAAAACACTGAGTGCTAAGCAGAGCCATTCTCTTCCACATATGTTCTTTGTAGCAAGGCAAAACAAGTGATACTTGTGTTTTAAAACCAATCTTTTTAAGCTAATATTTTACTTGGGTTGCGAGAGAATCGGAGAAAAACATCAAAAAATAATTTTACAAGTCTGTACTGAATGTCTGAAACTTTAATAATGAATTATCAGGAAGGGAGCAGAGGCAAATCTATCAAGAATAACTGCCATGAAAAATCACCAAAGGTGGTTATTCTTATTAAGCAAAGCACTGATTTTATCTATTTTAATCTAGTTCCCAGAAAAACTATATCTTTCTGTTTTCTTTTTAAAAGAAGCTCCTCTCCAAATTTGATTGAGTCACACCAAATATGATAAATCCTTAAATGGCATCTAAAGTCTAAGGAAAATAGAACTAAGGCTGGCTGGTGGAGATTTAGTTAATAAAATTTCAACATATTCTACAACTGCCACCATAGACTTTGAGAACACATCATACTGTGTTCTCTGAATTTTCTCATAACACATTATCTTTTAAAATTACCAAAAAAGGCCAGGTGCGTTGGCTCATGCCTGTAATCTCAGCAGGAGGCTGAGGTGGGAGCATCAATTGAGGTCAAGAGTTTGAGACTAGCTTGGCCAACATGGTGAAACCCCATCTCTACTAAAAATATAAAAATCAGCTGAGTGTAGTGGTGCATGCCTGTAATCTCAGCTACTCAGGAGGCTGAGTCAGAGAACTGCTTGAACCCGGGAGGCAGAGGTTGCAGTGAGCCAAGACCACACCACTGCACTCCAGTCTGGGTAAAAGAGTGACATTCTCTATCTAAAAAAAAAAAAAAAAAAAAAAGCTAAAAAAAATTAGCAAACTATTTGCTTACTAATAATGCTAAGAAGAAACAATTATTCAAAGAAAAAAGGTGACAGTCAATCTTTCTGATTAAACATGCAAACTAAAATGACAAAGGACTACTGGTTTATCTCTATAGAACATAAGATTTCTCAACCTAAAGAAAAACATGTTCCTCAATGCTACCTGAAGTTAAAGAACATTCATATACTGCTGAAGGCTGTTGGAGAAACATGCAGAATCATAAACATATTTAACCCTTTTAACACTGCAATTCTACTCCTGGGAATGAATAAAGAAATAATTCAAGGTATGACAAAAATCACAATCTGCAAAGATGTTCCTGATAGCATTATTCATAATAAATTAATTATAAATTTAGTTTGATGGCCAAGAAGAGACTCTCACATGTAGCTTCAAGATAGCTGTTTAACATTTTGACATTAAGAGACTCTGGCTTTTTCCTGGACACCATAAGACTAGGAAAAAAATAAAGTATGATTTTGTGACTAATAACGCAGGAATAAAGTTCACTTAGGTAGAAACTTTAATAATTATTAAAGATAACAAAAGTTATCAGTTACTGATTATACTTTACATATGATGGCAGATATTGTAAGATACCTATACAATATTCATTATCCTCTTCTTACCAGGAATATCTCAATTTTGATCAGAGTAGCAATATGCCTGGCCAAAAGTATTTGATTTTTCAGACTCCCTTGCAACTAGAATAGCCTAACCAATCAGATGCAGAAACAAAAAGGTCACATCTCACTGGGAAAAAGATACTTTTGTTCTTGGTCTTTTTCCTCCTACTTTCTATCCAGGAAAAAGCAAGAATCTTGTGATTAAAAGGAAAAATGCTTAAGGACAAAACTCATGTATGAGCTAAGGGTGGCAGAACATTAAGATCACAAGAGATCAGTGCCTGATGGCATTATTGAACTGCTATACTAACCCTGTACTGCCTATGCTGGGCCTTCTCACTGCATTAAATTATAAAATTCCTATGTATTTAAACCGGTGTTAGTTTTGGTTATGTTTAGTTTTACAAGCTAAAGTCACATGCTATGTCACTTGAAGGTCACAATTCTCTGAAATTGATATTAGTATATGTACTTTTACAGGTAAGAAAGCTGGGACTTACAAAGAAGTCAAATACTGAGCCAGTCCTGGTAGGGGACTGAGGGATAACACTAGTCAGATTCCAAAATCTTCAATAACAAACAATGCCATGATTTACCTCTGTTACAGCTAAAAAATTTATCCTGTCACAATTCTAGAGTAGGAGAGAATGAAAAAAAAAAGATAAAAATTAATGATAAAGCAAGCTGATATAAGTTTAAGAAAGGTCTAGATAAGCTGTTGCTTTTTGCTTCCATAGGTTCAATGGGTCATTGTATATATTGGCTTAATATTCCACAGGACAAAATTTATGGGAATTCTTTGACGGAGTAAGACAATAATTTCGTGATTTGTTGAAGTAAATTAATTAAGAATGCATCTAGTACTATGATAGAGCTACAAGGACCCACTGGTCTGATTTCAAATTAAGTTGTAATTCATTCCTCAATTTTTTTCTGTCTAGCCAAGCACTTACTTTTCTAGAAAGTTTCTTTTAAAAACAAGTCAGTAAGTATTAAATAATTGAGAACGTAGAAAGTTTAAGAAACACTATGGCATTTCTGAAAATGAAAACTAAGAACCTTCAGCAGGTAGCATTATTGCTAATTTCGGGTGCTAGTGAGCTTTCCTTGGATAATATTATGAACACCTCTTTGTATTAAAAAGTAGTGACTTTATAAAAGTAACATATGTCCTTTATTTCAAGAATTCAAGCCATACAAAAAGGACCAAGAAGAAAGTAATAAATATCCCACATCCAAGAAATAAAATGTTAACCTCTGGCAAGCACCATTCCCAGCATCCCTCTAAATTTAACGAAAGGAGGTAGCAGAGACAGTAATATATTTATGTCAGAACAAGAAAATAACATACATATCCTGTTTTGAAATAAAAGGCTTAAAGATTAATTTTATTTTAATCCAACATAAAAAAACTAAAGGCATTGTTTCTTTATAAAAGATACTGTATACTATAAAATAGAAACAAAAATATAAAAGAATTTTAAATACAGGAACATTAAAAAGTTTATGTAATCATTTTAAGAAACTCTATACTTCAGTTTGGATAATATCAATTAATCCCTTGCTTACAAGAGATAAGATGATAGGCTTTCTCCTTATTCTCTACTCCTTGTTCTATTATTTCCTTAAGTCAAAATTTCTAACATTTATGTTTTATTCTGTACCCAAAACACATCTAAAAGGTTTAGTTCCTAAATTAGTGAAAAAAGTCTTATATTTAGACAGTCCATGTGTGTTAATATACATTCCATATGCATGTTAATCTACATGTGTGCACATATATACAATAAATGTAAATATACAAATTACAATTTTAATACAAACAGCACATACTGTTTCATAATCTAATTTTTTACTTCCAATATCATGATCATGCTTCCATATTATGTATTCTCCTACAGCTGGGGTACGGTGGCATGATCACAGCTCACTGAGGCATCGACCTACCAGGCCAAGCAATATGATGCATCAGCATCCTGAGTAGCTGGGATTACAGGCGCACTCCACCGAGACTGGCTAATTTTTAAATTTTTTTGTAGATACAGGGTCTCACTCTATTGGCCAGGCTGGTCTCAAACTCCTGGCCTCAAGTGATTTACCTGCCGAAGTGCTGGGATTACAGGAGTGAGCCAACATGCCCAGCCTTACTACATTATTTTTAAGAGCAAAAAAATCATATTTCCTCATTGAATTTATCATAATTTCACAAATCCTGTATAAATCAACACAATTTTCCTGATTTTTTTGCTATTATAAAGAAAGCTGAGATAAACATCCTTAGACAGAAATGTTTGCTCTCATTGATAATTATTTATTAGAGGTCAGGCATGGTGGCTCACTCCTGTAATCCCAGCACTTCAGCAGGCTGAGGCAGGTGGATCACTTGAGGTCAGGAGTTAACAGCCTGGCCAGTATGGTGAAACTGCGTCTCTACTAAAAATATAAAAATTATCCAGGCATTGTGGCAGAGACCTGTAATACCAGCTACTCAGGAGGCTGATGCAGTAGAACCGCTTGAACCCATGAGGGAGAGGTTGCATTAAGCTGAGATGCCACCAATGCTCTCCAGCCTGGGTGACAAGAGTGAGACCTGTCTCAAAATAATAATAGTTATTATTGGAATAAATGCCAAAAGAAAAAAATTAGCCAAATGTTAAGAAATGATTTTTTATATACATTGTCCTATTTACCTTGAAAAAAGTATTTCTGTAATTTAGACCCACTAAAGCAAATTCCTATATCCAACCCATAACCACTAGGTGATTCAGACCAAAAACAATTTTGTCATTCATCATAAATTTTATTTCTTTGATTACTATTGGTGTATTTTTTCATGTATTTATTTGCCAACTATAACCGTTGTTCTCAACTACCTGCTTGTATTTTTTGGTCCATTTTCCCATTTTTGAGGTTTTTTTCCACACTTGAAATCTTTAGATATGTGCTGTAAATATTTCTCCCTTCTGTATCTTTATCTTCAAAGTTTCGGGTAATAGTTTAAAATATAGCATACTACATAAAAAAGATCAATGTCAAATATAAAGTCTAATGCTATATTTATCTTTCACATGGGAAATATCACTTAATGGTACTGAATCCTACTTTATTTTTAAAAATTATATAAAGATACTCGAATTGTAAATAACACCTTTTCTACACATACTAATGCTTCCTTATCACTTAATGTTTTCAGACATTAAGGAAGTTCTCCTTGTTTTTCATTGTCTGTGATACGTAAAACCAAATACTTCATCTATTACTTAATAAAATGTATAAAGTTTACCAAAAATATAAATACACTTGACGTTGAACAACCTGATTCTGAACTGCATAGATCCACTTACACAGGAATTTTCTTCTGCCTCTCTGCATTCCTGAGACAGCAAGATCAACTCCTTCTCTTTCTCAGTCTACTCAATGTGAAGACGATGAGGACGAAGACCTTTATAATGATCCACTTCCATTTAATGAACAGTAAATATATTTTCTCTTCTTTATGATTTTCTTAAGTAACATTTTTTTTCTCTAGCTACTTTAAAGGGTAGAGTATATAATAACATATATCATCTGAGGTAAGGCTTAGTAAAGAAAAAACAGGCCAGGCCTGTAGTCATAGCACTCTGGGAGGCCGAGGTAGGCGGATCACTTGAGGTCAGGAGTTCAAAACCAGCCGGGCCAACACGGTAAAACCCCGACTCTACTAAAAATACAAAATAATTAGCCAGGCGTGGTGGCAGGTGACTGTAACACCAGCTACTAGGAAGGCTGAAGCAGGAAAATTAACTGAACCCAGGAGGCGGAGGTTGCAATAAGCTGCAATAAGCCACTGCACTCCTGCCTGGATGACAGAGCAAGACTCTGTCTCAAAAAAAAGGAGAAAAATAACATGAACACACAAAATATGTGTTACTTGACTGTTTATGTTATTGGTAAGGCTTTGTCAACAGCAGGCTATTAGTAGTTAAGTACTTGGAGAGTCAAAAGACACACTATTTGGGTGTGGAGGGGAAGAACAGGTTGGCACCCTAATCTCCACACTGTTCAAGGGTCAACTGTCCTTCAAATCCATCAAAATTTTGTTTGGTGACAACATGTAACTTTTCAAATGGAAGAGTAAGTGTTATAAAACCGTCTTACAGAGAGTTGCAATATCCCAACAAGTTCAATAGTAGAAAACAATGTAATGGGGAAATATGTATATAACTCAATTTTAGAAATATGAATTAGGTTACATTTATTCAATGCTGAAATTTTGTGTCTTCCTAAGTAACATGTTCTCCTTAATTTTATTCTAAATAAAAGAAAAATAATCCATCTGATCTAATGACAAAAGCTTTCATGGAAAGATTATTATCTTGAAACTTTATTCCTTAAAAACATTAATATTATTTTAATTTATGAAAATCCCCTTTTCAAACAACTATCAGAAATTTTGGAAAACAAAACGCGAGTAATGTAAGTAATTTAAAAATGACTAGCAAAGAAACTTTTAACAAGACTATGTGAGAAGAGTTAGATCTTAAATAGCTATCCAAAGGCATATAAGTACCTTCTTCTCAACTAAGTGACTTAGTAATAGCTTGAGTATCACTTAGTATGCTTCAGGGGAAGAAAAAAAAAGATTCTGAATCTCTCAAAGAAACCAGTGTAGCTTAAAATGAAAAAGCATATGATTTCCTAATCACTACAAGAAAGAGCAATCTTCAAAGTTTAAAAATGTCATGAGTGTTTAAGAACAATTTCTAATTCACACAAGAGTGACGGCAAAATACACAAAAGGAGACCTGACTACAAAAAGTGTGTATGACACGATTTTCTAAAGCTATGTTAGTACACAATGTTTCAAAAATCTTCATGAGTATTTTCAGTTTCCAGAGTCAAGATCACTTCTGAACTGACAATTAAAATGACTAGAAAGATATAAGCAGAATATAATCTATGTACGTCAACTCAGAACGGAATACTTTCTCTGAATGAAGCTAAGACATTTTTAAGAGCAGTTCATTATTAGTATTTCCTGCTATGACTAAAACTATAGTAAATACATATATTCAAGTTTATATTCGTTTCAAAAATTGGTTAGTTCAGGGCTAAAACATAATCTAGTAATTTATTAGATAGCAATAATAAGAATCTCATCTGTTATGAATAATTGGAACTGGCTGATCTCAAGTATCAATTTCTGGTATGTAAGAGTTTTGGGAAACAAATGAAAAGCACTTGGGCAGTTAGGGGCGGCAGAAGTGGGAGAGAGAGTGAGACAGAGCGTTCTACATGTTTCTAATTCATTTCTGAATCTAAACTCAACAACTTTTTCTCAAATCTACATATCCTAATGCTTTATCACTGAGTAAATTTTATTCATTTGAATGCTCCCCCAAAAATTAGTTTCTTGATAAAGAAATTCATAATAAATATTAAAAGAATAAGGAATAAAGAAAATTGTTTTTATCTGGTTAGAAATCACATTTGGCATGACAGGTGAATTTCTGCCTCAAAATGTTAAATCTGAAATAGTGAAATACAAATATTTCTCTATAAATGGGTGTCAAGAGGAGTGGTATATGAGAGACAAAAATCACAGTTAAAGAATGAGTAAGATTTCACCAGAGAACAGCAAATTATTCTACCTGTATCTGAATCTCGTTCTTCATTTCTTGATGGGCTAATGGTAAAAGGAAGTTTACGTTTCATGGATGATTTCTCTCTCATCTCCTTGCTCACATCACTTCGGTCAATTTTTGGAGTTTTGCTGTAGGATGCAATCTTGTCTTTACTCTATTAAAAAGTCAAATAGAGTAAAGTTATATCAATATTAGCTAAGCAATACAGTATAGACACCCCTAAGGAAAATTTCAAACATACACAAAAATAGAGATGGTACTACCTATCATTGTATTCAATATACTCAAGACCCAGCTTCAACAAGTACATTTTTTCTAACCTGTTTCATATTCCCTACTCTTATTTAATAACATTATTTATATTTATTTTTTGATATTTTATGTTCAGGGGTACATGTGTAGGCTTGTTATACAAGTAAATTGCATATCACTGGGGTTTGGTGTAAAGATTATTTCATTACCCAGGTTAATAAGCATAGTACCCAATAGGCAGTTTTTGGATCCTCTCCTTCCTCCCACCCTCCACCCTCAGGTAAATTCCAGTGACTGCTGTTTCCTTCACGCTCATGTGACTCAACGTTTAGCTCCCACTTATAAATGAGATCACGTGGTATCTGGTTTTCTACTCCTGCATTAGTTCGCTTAGGATTATGACCTCCAGCTTCATCCATGTTGCAGTGCAAAAAACATGATCTCATTCTTTTTAATGGCTGCATAGTGCTCCACGGTGTAGATATATCACATTTTCTTTATCCAGTCTACTGTTGATGCACATTTAGGTTAATTCCATGTATTTGCTACTGTGAGTGGTGCTGCAATGAACACATGCGTGTATGTGTCTTTGTGGTAGGACAATTTATATTCCTTTGGGTAAACAAAAATGAGATTTCTAGGTTGAATGGTACTTCTAATAACAATTTTAAAACAAAATATCTTGAATAGAATTATATCTAGATGTAGCACCAATGAATATGTAAATTTTAAGAAGCAATTCTGAATTGAATAAAACTGATGGTATTTTATTTAAAAAATAAAACTGGCTGGGCATGTGCCTCATGCCTGTAATCCCAGCACTTGGGAGGCCGAAGTGGGTGGATCACCTGAGGTCAGGAGTTAGAGACCAGCCTGGCCAATATGGTGAAAACCTGTCTCTACTAAAAACAGAAAAAACTAGCCAGACATGGTGGCAGGTGCCTGTAGTCCCAGCTACTCAGGAGGCTGAGGCAGGAGAATCGCTTGAACCCGGGAGGCAGAGGTTGCAGTGAGCTGAGATCTCGCCATTGCACTCCAGCCTGGGCAACAAGAACATTAACTCTGTGTCTCAATCAATCAATCAGTAAAACTGTCTGTATCAGTAATTCTCAAATGGCTTCTGGACTAGATGTAACAGCATCACCTGGAAACTTAATAGAAATACAAAATTTCATACTTCATCTCAAACCTATTGAATCAGAATCTCTGGGGCTAGGGCCTAATGATCTGTTTTAATAGTCCCGCCATGTGATTTTGATGCATACTAAAGTCTGAGAACCACTATTCTTTATCAATAAAGAAGAAAATGTGTAAGGATTACAGGAACCAAAGGATAATCTCTCTAAGCTGGTAGAAGATTACAACCCTATTTCTTAGATCAGAAAACCAGAAATGGATTCATAATTCAATTTAGAAAAAGAATGATATACCAAATAAAAATACTGTGTACTTGCCCAGTCAGGTAAAGTGACCCACAGCTATTATAAAGTTCACTCCTATAACCAAACATCCAAATTGATACGGTACATCAAAACTGGGGTATGACAACTCCTTTGTGAGAAATATGCTTCATACTGAGAACTAAGCTACACTGCCTTAGCAGGAGATCTTAAAAAAAAATGCTCCAAGCTATGATAATAAGTGGTGTTTATCATGATTGTAGAAATTCTCAAAAGCAAATGAAAAGTAGATTCAGAATACAAAACATACCAGTTTTCAACCCAAGATGAAAAATAAAGGAGGGATGAGGAAGAAAAAGGGGCATAACAAATTAATGTTTTTTTTTTAAGTAGCAATAAAACCAAAAGATGACTCTAAAAGAGCAAATGAATAAACAAACCTTTGATGAATATAATAATGAAAATCAGAGAAAAGATAAAAATAATAAAGACTGAGATTGAGCCTGAATACAAGCATAGAGGGAATATTAAAAAGTTATGAAAGAATGTTGTTGGCTGGGCATGGTGGCTCATACCTGTAATCCCAGCACTTTGGGAGGCCAAGGTGGGCAGATTACTTGAGCCCAGGAGTTTGAGACCAGTCTGGGCCACATTGGGAGACCTCGTCTCCATAAAAAATTTAAAAATTAGCCAGACATGGTGGCATGCGCCTGTGTCCCCAGCTACTTGGGAGGCTAAGGCAGGAGGATTGCTTGAGCTGGGAGGACTGAGGCTATAGTGAGCCATGTTCTCTCCACTGCGTTCTAGGCTGGATGAGAGAGCGAGACCCTGTATTCCAAAAACAAAAACAATTGCTGTATTCAATTTTATATGATTCAATTTTTATACTATTAAAAAACTTATAGCCTGGAAAAATGGATAATTTTCTTGGAATATATGCATTACTAAAAACTGGTTCATGACAGGATGACAAGAAGGGAAAACCAGAACAGTCCAATTACCATAGAAAACAATAAACCAGGCTGGCTGCAGTGGCTCATGTCTGTAATCCCAATGCCCTGGGAGGCTGAGGCAGACAGATCCCTTGAGGGCAGGAGTTTAAAACCAGGCTGGGAAACGTCCTGAGATCTCATCTCCATTAAAAAAAATTTTTTAACTAGCTGGGCACAGTGGTGCACACCTGGAGTGGGGCGGCTGAGGCAGAGGAAGGCCGATACAGTGACCTATAATCACACCACTGCACTCCAGGCTGGGTGACAGAGCAAGACCCTGTTTCTAAAAAAAAAAGAAGGAAAAAAAAAAAAGATAAATCCATAGTGAAACATATGTTTAAAATGGCACCTACTCCAGAAAATTTTACAATAGAGTTTTAACAACAAAAAAAAATTCAAGAAAAAGGTATGTCCCATTTCATATATACCAGAGCACAGAAAGACTAGAAGTTACCCAATTCATTTTAAAAGTCTAAAATGAAACTGACACCAAAAAAGCACAAGATACAAGTTTATAGATAAAAATCCACTTACGAACATAAATACAAAAATCCTAAACAGACTATCAAGCCAAATTCAGTGTCTTAGATTATAATCAAGCAGGGCTCATCCAGAGAATACAAGGATTTTCTAACTAAGAGATTAGAAAATCTCTTAATTCATTTTATCAAAAGATTAAAGTAAAACCATACGATGGCAAGAAGGTGGTGGCAAGAATAATATCAATAAATTCTACATTCATTCTTGATCAATTTCCAAGCTTTCAAGTAAAATTCTTGAGCTATTTTTCACTTCTGTCAATGAAATGGAGCTTCAAGACAAGTGTTTTGCTTATAAGGTTGTTTTAAAATGTAGGTTCTATTATACAGTGAGACCAACAGATCAGGATATTACTGCTATGGAAAAGATTGTTACTCATAGTTCCAAGGGGTGGGAGGCATGCCATGCCACATCATGCCACTCCAGACCACATGGGAAAGCACCAGGGAGGTTGGTGAAGAGGTAAAAGAAAGGTGAAATGTGAGCATCAGCCTTTACTGTAGTTTCCACAGGAAAGAAAGTGTGAAGCAGAATAAGCAGGCTTGGGATTGGCTACCTTGAATAACTGCAGTGGGCTCTGGGGTATAGGAGCTATTTCTCCAATTGTCTGGTACCTGGTTCTGGGATGATTAGAACAGATGGCTACTGGCCCAGAGTGTGAGAGCCCAACAAAGTTGGGAGTTTGGATGTGGGGTCTAGATAGGTTGGTCTGCGAGTGAAAGGTCTGCTCACAAATGAGTTTATTATCTTTAGGAACTGGCGTGCTTTGGGAGGTACGGTCTCTTAACGGTCAGCAAAGCCCCAAAAGTCAATGCATCAGAAATACAGAAAATAAAAAGGCACGGCTAATACACAGGTTAACCAACAAAACTCCAGTAACTTGCCTTAGAAAATGAATCATTATGTATAAAAGATTTAAGAAAAACTTGAAAATCCCTTCTCTCCTGCAGCTATATAAGATAGAGTTCTGTGCCACAAAATGAGTTAAAAGAAACCAATGTGATATCATATTGAAAGAAGATAGCATGAGAATCTATGAAACATGTTCTTCTGTGCAATATAGTGATTAGTGTGACTATTCATAACTGCTAACTACCTGTTATATCCTCTATAGAACTGTCCTTCAAGGTGTGTTTGAACACAGGGTTTCTGTGAGATTCTTAACACTTAACTTTCAAAAGAAATATTTCTGATTGTCTTGAAATTTCTGTGTTACCAAAGAGTAGAAATACTCTATCAAATTCAAGGGAGGATCATTAACACAGCCTAGGTTCATAACTCTGTAAGGTTTATTATCTTAAAATATGTTTAGAGTCTTTTTAACATTATTTTCTCGATAACTGGCAACAGCCATCACACATAATAAAAGCACCAATGTTAAGAATTATATTCTATTAATTCTGTTATTAAACGATGTATTGATAGCCTCTGTCATCTCAGTGAGATTTTTAAAAAATGGTAAAAATGTATCCGGAAAATAAGAATATATACACATGTGCATATATATAAACAGAAAACTCTGGAACAGCATCAAGGCATACCTTGGAGATGTGGCAGATTCAGTTACAGACCACCATGATAAAGCAATTATAATAAGGTGAGTCACACAAATTTTTTGGTTTCCCAGTAGATACAAAAATGTTTACACTATAATATCGTCTATTAAGTGTGCGATACCATTATGCCTCATACACACATACACACACACACACACACACACACACACACTCTTTAATTTTAAAATACTAAAATATGCTAAAGACTACATGAGCCATCAGTAAAAGTTGTAATCTTTTTGCTGGTGGAGGGTCTTGCCTCTTAGGTTGATGGCTGCTGACTAATCAGGACGGTGGTTCTTGACACTTTAAGACAACAATCAAGTTTGCAACATGAATCGACTTTCTCTCACAAAAGATCTCTGGTAGCATGCAATGCTGCTGATAGCATTTTACCCGCAGATTTTCTTTCCA